TTGGAAATGCAGACTGCTGGCTCTCAGTTCAAGCAACATGGGAACATTCAATATTTGGGGAGGGAGAGCTTATTTTAAAGATGAGGATCTGTTGGGGGGGGGTCTACCACTGACCCCTGACCTCTCCAGGGACCCTGGCCGAGCTGGGGATGCCAGCTGGGGGTGGAGTGGGTTTGGGTTCCTCTGCACTTGGGACTTGCTGTGTAGGCAGACTAAGGAGTAGGTCTCATCCCAGAATGAAAGGTGAGTGACTGATGAGTTATCTGACCACACAAAGAGCCAGTGGGTTTTCTCCCATGCTCTCAGAGCACTCAGGAAGGGCGTCTTCCCCTTCAGGGAGACAAAGATAAAGGAAAGAAGGCTTTTCCTTCACCCCTGAGGATCACTGCTGGGGAGGACCCTGTGGCCCTAGTACCTACTGTCCAGTAAGAACAGCCAGCTGCTTGCCTGCATGTCCTTGTGGCCCTCTCCTGTGCCTGCCTCCAAAGGCTAGGACCCTAGCTTCCCATGTTCCCGGAGTTCAGTGCATAGTTGGGGCTAACGAAGAGCTCAGGTTCAAGGCTGCTTGCTCTTTATGGAAGATGATGGCCCAAGAGACCCACACTGGAGTTTGTTAAGGCCAAGAGTTAATGGGAAGCTCTTGGAAGCTAAGGAGTCATTTTGAGAAGGATGTTGCCCTTTTGGAAAATGATGTAAAATATTTTTTCAGTCTACTTAAGAAATGTCATGAATGCACTGATGGCCCTTCCAGAATCCACTTCAAACAATTATGATAGTGTTATGGGTTGAATTGGACCTTTCCTCTAAAAGGTACTTTGGAGTTCTAACCCTCGGTAACTGTGAGCATGACCTTATTTGGAAATAGGATCTTTACAGAGGCAAGCAAGTAAGATGAAGTTGTTAGGGTGGGCTCTGATCCAATACGACTGGTGTCCTTATAAAAAGGGGACATTTGGATGCACACACACGCACGGAAGATGATACCAAAGGTGGGGGATCAGGGTAATGCACCCGCAAGCCAAGGAATGCCAAAGATTGCCCCTGAAGCACCAGGAGCTACGAACGGATCCTCCCTCACAGGGCTTGGAAGGAACCAACCTGGCTGACACTTGTGTCAGGCTCCCAGACTCCGGAACCGTGAGACAACAAGTATCTGTGTTCAAGGTGCACGGCTTGTGGTGCTTTGTTACAGCAGCCCCTGTAAACAGATACGGATGGCGAACGGTCTGTTCCCAGTAGCTTGTGCAGTGGAGAGTCTGACACGGTCCCAGCAGAAAGGGGCCTGGGGTCCTCCCCCTTTGAGGCAGCCGTTCCCAAGGGGGACCACCAGGCGAACAGAAACCCACTGAGTGCCGTTGACATCCTGGGCTCTGCTGGACACATCAGTTTTTCTCTCCCATGTAATCTTTCCAATAGCCTCAAAATGGATGGCTTCCTACTCCCGTTTTAAAGACTATAAAGCTGACGTGGGAGAGTGTTTAAACAACTTGCCCAGGATTGTGTCACCAGGACCTGATGCTAGCGGAGGTGGGCCAGACAGCCAGGCTGTCAACACCATGCCACCTCCCCAGACAGATCATACGCGGAAAGACCTTCCCAGAATTAACAAGCTGGTACCAGGGGTTTGAGTGCATGACCCCAGCTCTTTGCTCTGTCCCCTGTGTTTCAGGCTCTGGGGCAGTCTGGCCAGGGGCAGGGCCCATGTTTTTCTCCATTTCCTCATTGAGGAAAACAGATTGGAAGGATATGTTCCAACTCCCTAAAAGGATAAGGTGTTTAAGTATCCTCAAGTACTCGGGGCTCTGCGGTGGCTCGGTTCGTGAAGCATCTGCCTTTGGCTCAGGTCATGATCTCAGGGTCCTGGGATTGAGCCCTGCATCGGGCTCCTTGCTCAGCGGGGAGTCTGCTTCTCCCTCTGCCTCTGCCCTCTGCTTGTGTTCTCTCTCTCTCTCTCTCTCTCAAATAAATAAATAATCTTAAAGGAACCCTCAAATACTTTCAAGCTCTCATTTGTGCAAGTTTTCACCTTTTACAGAGCATGTTCCCACGTGCTGTCTCCCACCCCCAGCACTGCCCAGCGGGTGGGCACTACTGTCAACATGTGAATGAGGCCCAAGCTGCTTTGTAAACGGGTGTTCCTGACAGCAGCCTAATAGGTTGCTCCAACATGCAAATTCGGCCAGATCTCCCGGGTTCAAATCCCCGCTAGGGGAAATGATATAACCCTCTGTCCTTCAGTTTCTCATTTTGTAAAGTAGGGCTAGTGGTCGAGCCTACCTCCAGGAGCTGTTAAGAAGACTAAGGGGTGAATGTTTTTAAAGCACTTAAAATAGGTCCTGGCACTTCGCCAGCACAATAATAAGTGGTTACTATTATTTATTTTTTTTAAAGATTTTTTATTTATTTATTTGAGAGAGAGAATGAGAGACAGAGAGCATGAGAGGGAGGAGGGTCAGAAGGAGAAGCAGACTCCCCGCCGAGCAGGGAGCCCGATGTGGGACTCGATCCCGGGACTCCAGGACCATGACCTGAGCCGAAGGCAGCCGCTCAACCAACTGAGCCACCCAGGCGCCCAAGTGGTTACTATTATTGTTATTAATTCATTCAGCCAACATGGATTCAGGGCTGCATTTGTGTAACTAGACTAACTAGGTTCACATCCCTACTTTGCTGTGTACTCCCTGGATGACTGTGGGCATTTTACTTAACACTCTGGGCCTTGGTTCTGTCTTCTGTGAAATGGGGATAATAAAACTACATGTGTCACAGGGTGATGGTGAGGATAAGGGGCTTGTTCAGTGCCTGGCTCACTCTAAGTTCTGAATAAATCCTAGGTGCTTTTATGGCTGATATCAGAGTTACTGTGATTCCAGTTGGGTCAGGCCAGGCTTCCACAGCTGCTCTGGGAGACACACAATCACCCTGGACAGATTCCTCTGGAGGCTAGAAGGTCAGGTTTGGGGCCAGGGCAGCCCCATCCCCCAGCACTTCAGACCTAGCCCTTCCTGGCACCGGCCCCCACCCCCAAGCCCTCTCCCAGCTGCAGAGCAATGGTTCCCAAACATTCACTAGATCTCCAGAACCCTCCAATAGCTTTACCATTACATGTAGACTACAAGTTAAACTCCTCACAGGAGGCCCTACAGGCCTGGCCCAATTGACCCTCAGGAGGCACTCCTCACCTGCATCACTGATGTTGGGCTTCTGCTCACCCCTCCCAGCCCACTGTCCTTCTCACTATTCCCCAACCTCAACCGGGCTACTTGTTCCTGGGGGCCCTCCCATATGCCCAGAACATTCTCCCTAATCCCGGACCTCTGCATGGCTGGCTGCTTCTACCACAGAGACCTCCAGTCAAATGCCCCTTCCTCAGGGGACTGCCGGCCAATCCCACCCTGCCACCCGTTTCGTTCTGTTCACACTGCTTGTGATGCTCTGAAGCCATCTATTGATTTGGTTACCTGTCCACTGGCGTGGCAGTACCATGAGGACGGGGGTCTCATTTGTTTCATTCATGAGGGCACCCCGGGGTGAATAAAAGCCTAACAGGGACTGCACACAGAGGGTGCTCAATAAATGAACAAGCAAACAGGTGGTTAGGCTCTGGCTTCAAGCATCCTTTAGGGAAATGATAACGCATCTTTGTCATCATGTAATAAAAGAGGCCGAAACCCCACAGTGAAAATTCCACCATATGATATCCAACCATGGGCCTGGGAAGCCTTTCAACCCACCTCAGGAAAAGAAGAGGGGGGATGTCACCTTCTCCTCCCATAAATGGCTCAAGGATTGCTCTCCTCAACCTCCTTCCCCACCCACGCCTGTCAAAAGCTGCTGGGTTTAAACACCCATGTTTCTGTTCTATATTATTGATCGTTTAATATTCAAGAGATGGCATAAATAAATATGTGAGCAATTATGCAATGTGTTTGGAAACAATCTGGTTAGCCCCAAAGTGCTGGGGTGAGAAGCAAAACTTGAGCAAAGCCAGAAGTCTGGGTGATCTGTGAGGTGGGGGACAGAGGTATGTGGCTAGTCTGCCAGTCTGCCTGTCTGCTCCCTCCCCACTTCTGTCCAGAGTTATTCATCTTCCTTGGCAAACGCAGGGTGGGGTAGTAGGAAGTGAGCAGAGAATCTTGGAGGCATCTCCTGGTTCTCTGTGCTCCTGTCTGGGTGGTTACTGCGCTCTAGGTCAGTCTTTCCATCTGTGAAAGGGCTAATGACGCCCCCTGGTAAGGTCAGATGAGATGATGTCTCTTAGCTCTGGCTCAGAGGACGTTCTTTCTGAAGTTAAGTTGGGTCTGATGCTGAAAGATGAGCTGTACAAGCTCTGGCCCCTGACAGGGGTGGGGGTGCGGGTGCAGGCCTGGACTTTGAGGTTCATGGGTATATAATGCAAGGTGGACTGGGCAAGACAATAACAGAGGCCCAAAGAAAGGGCTTCAGGGGTACAGAGGAAGACATGCTTCCGTAAGGAGCGGGAGATACCTGACAGAGCTGCCACATGAGCTGGCTCTAGAAGGCAGAGTGGCATTGTGACCCCAGAGAGGGCTGCCCATGTAACTAACATGCATTAGGCATCTAGCGTGTCTGTTCATTCAACAAGGATTTACTGAGCACCTACTAGGTTCCGCGACTCTGCTAAGGACATGGATCATCTTTGCTTGGCCTTCACAAAGACAGAGATGCTGCGATAATCCCCGTTTTACATATGAGGGAACTGAGACTCAGCTTACCCTGTCTAGTGATGCTGCCTTCCTTCTCCAAGTTCTAGGCCATAATCCCTATTTAAATGCAAAAGAGATGTGGGGCAGTTTTCCCAAACCAAAACAATGCTGCATAAATAATTCATGTGCCTTCTCTGAGGTTATAAGAGGGAAGGGAGCTGCTGTCAAACTCTGCTTTCCTGCTCAGCTGACCTTCCATCAGCAGCCCCCAAACAGTGTTCTCTTCCATATCTACCCCACCTCCAGCCCCAGGCCAACCCATTTCCAACTCACCCCTCCAAGTCTTCTGGTTAAATGAGAGGCGTCAGGATTTGGAAAATGGGGCCCATGTCTTGCTGGCTCTGGGGACTGGGTGATGAAGTTCAGCTCTGGAAAAGGGGAGATAGCATTGGTTAGGGGTGGGTGACCTGATGGGGAGCTAGTCAGGAAAGAATAGGGAGGGAACAGTGCTGGGGAGTGTCCCGGGTGTGCCCTCACTGGGCCAGGGCCAGCTTCAAGGGTAGGTGCAGACAGAAGAGAAGGAGGAGTGGCCCAGTTCCCCAACTACTTCCCAGGAGCTGACCTTGCCCTCCTGGGACCCACCCTCTGACTTCCCCATCAAGACCTGCTTATGGGCTTCCCCCATCCCAGGCCCCAGGCCCTCTTAGGGAAGCAAGTCCACCCAGCAGTGTGTCAGATGGGGTATTCCATCTGCTGACTGGTGTGGCCTTCAAGGGTAGAAGGAGTGGTGCGGAGTGGGCACGAATGTGTGCTCTTGACAGACAGAGGCCCTTGGGCAAGTGGCTTTATGCTTCTGAGTCTGCTTCTCCATCTGCAGGATAGAGATAATAATACCTATTATTCAGGATTTTTGAGAGGAGTAATCGAAGTATAATATGTGTAAAGGCCTTGAATTCTAGAAGTGTTTCTTAAATAGCAGAAAAAGAGAATGGATGCTAAATGGCTCTCCAATGTCAGGTTCCATTTATTTACCTATCTATCCATTTTTCATTTGTAACTTTCTGTTTTGAAATAATTATTCATTTAAAGCAAGTTGTAAAGGAATGTATAGGGAGGTTCTCTGCACCTTACCCCAGCTGACCCCAGTGCTGACATCTCCCACCACAGGGAGTCCCATGCACTTTCCCCCACTGACTCCAGTGTTCAGAGATGTCCCATGCATCTTCCCCCAAATGACTCCCCTGTTAACGTCTCCCACCAACGGGGAGGTCTGGTGCACCTTCCCCCAACTGACTCAAGTGCTGACATCTCCCACCTCAGGGAGGTCCCATGCACTTTCTCCCAGTGACCCCAGTGTTCAGGGATGTCCCATGTACCTTCTCCCAGCTGACTGGGGAGAGTTAACGTCTTGTACTAGAGTGCACTGTCAAAACCAGGCAAGTGACATTAGTACAATCCATGGAGCTTATTCAGTTTTCACCAGTGTTACATATGCTCGTGTGTGTGTGTGTGTGTGTGTGTGTATGTGTGTGTATGTAGGTCTATGCAATATGATCACTTTGCAGTTTTTTGTAAGCACCACTACACTCAAGATACAGACCTGTTCTACCAGCACAGCTTCCTTGGGCCACTCCTTTATAGTCACACCCACTCCCTCCCTGCCTTCATCCCTGACTCCTGGAAATCATGATTCTGTTCTCCATCTCTATAATACTGATCTTTCAGTGATGTTCTATAAATGGAACCTTTGGCGATTGGCTTTCTTCACGCAGCCTAATTCTCTGGCGATCCTTCAGGTTGTGGGCGTATCAATAGTTCACTCCTTTTTATTGTTGAGTATAATTCCATGAGACGGATGGACCACAGTTTGTTTATCCATTCATCTGGTAAAGGACACCTGAGTTATTTCCAGTTTTTGGCTATGATGACTAAATCTGCTATAAATATTTCTGTACAGGGTTTTGCATGAATGTAAATTTTCATTTATTTGGGATAAATGCCCGAGAGTGCAATTGTTGGGTTGCATGGTAGTTGCATATGTGTGTGTGTGTGTGTGTGTGTGTGTATGCTTAAAAGGAACATCCAAACTGTTTTCCAGAGTGGCTGTGTACCATTTTACATTTCCACGAGCAGCGTGTGAGTGATCCAATATTTCTGCATCCTGGTCAGCATTTGGTATCATTTTGTATTTTTGGCATTCTGACAGGTGTGTAATATCTCATTGTGGTTTTAACGTGCATTTCTTTATTGGCTAATGATGTTGAACATCTTGTCACGTGCTTATTTGTCACCTGCACATCCTCTTTGGAGAAATGTCTCTTCGTGACTTTTGCCCATTTTCCAATTGGATTGTTAATTTTTTTAACAGTTGAGTTTTTATTTATTTATTTTTTAATTTGTGTCAGATACTAGTACTTGGTCAGATTCTGTGGTTTGCAAATATTTTCTCCCAGCCTGTAGTTTGTCTTTTTGTCCTCTTGAGAGAGTGTTTTGTAGAACACAGGCTTTTAATTTTGAAAAAGTCCACTTCATCTCTTTATTTTTTATTTTTTTATGGATCATAATTTTGGGATCAAGTCTGAGCTGAAGATTTTCCTCTTAATTTCTTTCCTAAAAGTTTTGTAGTTTATATTCTATATTGAAGTCTGTGATCCATTTGAGACAATTTTTGTGTAAGGTGTGAGGCTTGGGTAGATTTTTTTGTTGGTGGTGGTGTTTGCCCATGGATGTCCACTTTGCTTCAACATTATTTTTTTAAAAGGTTATTACCTTTCTTCCATTGAATTGCTTCCGTACCTTTGTCAAATATTGGTCGGTTGGGTGGGTCTATTTCTGGATCCTCTATTCCATTCCATTAAACTCTGTGTCATCCCTCTGTTAATACCACATAGCCTTGGTTTCTAGATAAGTCTTGAAGTACAATTATTCTCACTTTATTCTTCTTTTTCAAAACTGTTTCAGGTCTTCTAGCTTCTTTGCCTTTCCACATAATTTTTAGAATAATCTTTTCCATATTTACAAAAATTTTGCTTGGACTTTGGTAGAAACTGCACAGAACTGACGTCTTTACTTTGTTGAATCTTCAGTTCCATGAACAACTCTATGGCCACTTCATTCATTTAGATCTTCCTCATCAGTATTTTGTAGTTTTCAGCATAAAAATCTTGTGCATTTGTGTTAAATTTACACCTATATATTTTTTGTGTGATTGTAAATGGCATTGTATTTTTAACTTTCATGTCCACATGTTCTTTGCTAGTATACAGAAACACAACAGTTTTTTTGGTATGTTTATTTTGTATCCTGTGACCTTCCTGAACTTGGTCACTAGTTCTGGGAGGGTTTTTGTTTTGTTTTGTTGTTTGTTTTTTGTAGATTCCTTGGGATTTTTTTTATGTAGACAATAAAATTATCTGCACATAGGGACAGTTTTATTTCTTCCTTTCCAATCTGTATGCATTTTCTTGTCTTAATGCACCAGTAAGATTGCCTAGCACTCTTTGAATATAAGTGGTCAGAGCTGATATCCTTACTTTGTTCCCAATTTTAGGGGAAAGGCTTCAGTCTTTAACCATTAAGTATAATGTTAGCTGTAGTTTTTTAATAGATGTTCTTTATCAAGTTGAGGAAATTCTCTATTCCTATTTTTCTGAGCATTGTATCATGAATGGGTGTTGAATTTTATCAAATGCTTCCTGCATTGATGGATATGATCGAGTGATTTTTTTCTTCTTTAGCCCGTCAACATGGTGGATTATATTAATTGATTTTTGAATGTTGAACCAACCTTGCATTCCTGGAATAAATCTTACTTGGTCCTGAGGCATAATTGTTTTTACATATTGGTGAATCCTATTTGATAATATTTGTGAAGGATTTTCACATGTGTAATTCATGAGGGCTTATAGTTTTTATTTGTTGTGCTGTTGTCTGGTTTTGATATTGACATAATACTAGCTTCATAAATTGAAATGAAAGTGTTCCCTCTGCCTCTTTTTACTGGAAGGCATTGTGTAGAACTGGTGTTAATTTTTCAAACATTTGGTAAAATTTTCCCATGAAACTATATGGTCTATTATACTAATAATTTAATGTAATTACTGATATGTTAAATTTTAAGTCTATGCTTTTATTTTCATTTTTTTAAAGATTTTTTTACTTACTTATTTCAGAGAGAAAGAGAGAGCAAGAGTGGAGGTGTGGAAGGAGCAGAGGGAGAGGGAGAAGCAGACTACCCACTGAGAAGGGATCCCAATGTGGAGCTCGATCCCAGGACCCTGAGATCATGACCTGAGCAGATGCTTAACTGATTGAGCCACCCAGGTGCCCCTATGCTTTTATTTCTTGTTTTCTCTTTGTTCTTTCTACAAACACAACCACATCTGAAAATGCTGTAGTTTTTGCTTCAACTGTTAAACATAATTTAGAAAGCTCAAGAAGAGAAAGAATGTGTATTGTATTTAGCAATATTTTTGCTTACCATATCCTTTTTTCCCTTTCTGATGTTCTAAGATTCCTTTAAAAAGATAGTTTCCTTTCTGTCTGGAGAACAGCATTCTTTTAGGGTAAATCTTCTGGCCACAGACTCTCTTAGTTTTTCTTTCATCCAAGAAGATCTTGATTTCCGCTTCATTTCTGAGGGGTATTTTTGCTGGTGACGGGATTCTCAGTTGTCAGTTCTTTTTTTTCAGCATTTGAAAAATGTTATGCCACTTTCTTCTGGACTCCATGTTTTCTAATGAGAAATCCACTGTCATTCAAATTGTTTCCTCTCCATCAGCGAGTTGTTGTTTTTCTTCCGGATATGTGTTTTGTCTTTAGTTTTCAGAAGTTTAGCTATTTTGTATCTTGATGTGCACTTCTTCGGGTTTATCTTCTTTGGAATTTTCTCAGCTTCATGAATCAGTAAGTTTATGAGGGTTTGTTGTTGTTGTTGTTGTTGGTTGGTTTAGTTTTTTTGCCAAATTTGGGGCGTTTTCAGCCATTATTTCTTCAGGTGCTTTTTCAGTCCCACTCCCTTTCTCATCTCCTTCTAGGAGTTCAATGATATAAACATTAGGTCTTTTGTTACAGTCCCACAGGTCTCTGAGGCTTTATTTTTTTAAGTTTATTTTCTGTTATTCAGCTTAGATAATTTTTTGTCCTATATTCCATCTCAATTATTCCTTCCTTTGTTCCCTTTAGTCTGCTATTCAGCACATCCATTGAGTTTTTTTCCTTTTTAATTTCAGTTATCATATTTTTCAGTTCTAAAATTTCCATTTCGCTCTTCTCTCTGTCTTCCATGTCTTTGCTGGGACTTTGTATTTTTTTTCTCATCTATTTCAAGTGTGTTCATAATTGTTCCTTGATGTATTTTTATGATGGCTACTTTAAAATCTTTGTCAGATAATTCCAACATCTCTCCCATCTCAGTGTTGGCATCTATTGATTGCCTTTTTTCATTCAGTTTAAGATCTTCCTAGTTCTTTGTATAAGTGAATTTTAACTGATACTTGGGGATCTGGGGCATGATGTTATGAGCCTCCAGATCTTATTTAAATCTTCTGTTTCAGCTGGATTCCTTTGACACTGCACCAACAGAGGAAGGGGGTTGGGGACTGCCATCTCCCCATTAGGTCCCCACGGATACCTCCCTGACTGGGTGGAGTAGGAAAGACTTATTAGTGTTCCCAGCATGGTCTCCACTGGCACTACAGGAGCTGGAGGTGAGATCTTATTACCACCTAGTGGGGAATAGAAGTCCTGGCTCTCTACTTGGTCTTCTCTGTCACCACCCAGTCCGGGGGGGGGGGTGCTTGGGGTGCCTCATAATCTGATGAAGGTAGAAGTCTAGTTTCTCCACAGGATTGTTGCTGTGGGGGTAAGGCCATAATGTTTTCTATGGTGTTTGGCTGCAGTAGAGTAGTTTTGTCTAAAAGTGTCTGTTTTGCTAGGCTGACCCCTTCCTTCTTCTTCAGCTAAAGAGAGCAGGTTCCCCAACCCCACTGGCATTTCCTCATTTCTGGCTTCTTCAACTCCAACTCCAGGATACATGAGGCAAAACCACCACCACCAGGAACTCACTACCATGTTGTTTCTTGGGTCCTCAGGTCCCTAGTGGGTTTGTCCTTTCTCTGCCTTTCAGAGTTTTCAATTTGGTTTTATATATAA